GTTGCGTGTACCGCGGGGTGGCCTACCCTGAGGTTCGCAGGCGCCGAGCTCCCGGAATTTGCTGAATGAAGCTGACAACGCGGTGACGTTCGGAGGGCCGTCGTCGGCGTCCTGGAGCTGCCCGATGATGTGTCCGGTCGGCCTCGGCACCGCCAGAATGGAACTCGGGGTGTCAAACAACCGCCACCTAACGAATTTTAGCGATATCCGTGCCGTTCGGAGGGGCGTCGTCGGCGTCCTGGAGGTGCCCGATGACGCCCTCGACACCACCGGAATCGAACTCAGCGTGACAACTTACCCTCGCATATGAAATTTGATCGAGATCGGCGATCTGCCCCTCCCCCACCCGTCCCACCACAGCCAGGGCACACAGCGGCCCGCCACTTTTAGGCTATCTTCTAAATGCTGTAGCTCGTAAACGAGACCCATAATAACGACATCCGCCGTCGCTAACATTTAGATAAATGTTCAAAGAATAGTTTCCATCTGCCGTACGGTCAGTTTTGGATCCGGGCATACGAATGGTTTGCAACCGCGTAAAACCCTACAAAACCCGTTTTTGGCCGAATTGACTGTGATGACATGTCCAAAAGTAATTTTCGACGCCGAATTTGGATTCAGCTCGATTTTTTACGTCAGAAAACCGGTACGATCATCAAAATCGGACGTTTTTACGTGGAGTTACGGGAATTTAAAGATTTTCACTAAAAAGACCTAAAGAAAAAGCCTAAAAACTTCAAAATGCCATAACTCCTGAACCGTTTGTCCCACAGGGCTCAGATTTTTACTGAATACTCTTCTTTTAGTAGACAACTAATGGACAAATAACGGGCGAAATCGTCAAGGGTCACTTTTGACTCCTGTAAATTCGAAATGGAATGCCTCATCATCTGCTTTCACGATCCGTTCCTGAACGGAACTTTTTTTTCACCGGCGAGGCGGCACGCCGAACAAAGGGGCCGCCTTGACAAGGGTTGACAGGACGCCCATTACCGCAAAACCGCAGCTATCATAAGAAACCATAAGTGTCGAGTGACGAGGGTCGCCGGCCGGGCCCTAATAGCTACGTACAAAATTTTACACCCTCGCAAGGGACTAAAGTGGTGTGCACCCCTGGGGTGCAGGTTTCACCCCCTAAATCCTATGAGTGTGTGGCGCGGCGCGGCACGGCTCGGTAAGGGGTGGCCCGGCGGCGGCTCTAAGGGTTCCGCCCCGGCCTCGCTGCGTCGCGAGGTCCGCTGCCCCTAGCCGGGCCGTGCCGAGTCGCGCGCGGCGGGAACGGCGGGGCGGCGGCGGCGGCGGCGCGATGCGGTAGTAGCGGGCCCGGCGAACCCTAAAAACGCAGGTTGAAACCTGCCCCGTAGTTCCGAACCGGCCGGTAGGCAGCGCCACCGTAGGCGCTCCGCGGGTATAAATAAAGTGCTGCCGGGGCGGAGAGATCATTACTTCGCTTTGGCTTACACAGTTCACATCGATACAACTTGGTCTTCGCACCACTTCTTTTTGGTCTTCGAACCACAATCATGACTTCCAAACGCCCTTCTACCAAACCCTCTAAGCACCGGCTCTCCCCCGACGCACCGGACGCTGCCGCCTCTCGCTAAAAGAGAGCGGTGTCTGACGACCCTTACGCCCTGGTGAACGTCGATCCTGGCGCGGGTCTTGGAAAGGATGAAGGAGACTACGGTCCTCACCTTCCTTACGTCTTTTCTCCCCCTACCTTCAACTTCGGTCAGGTCACCGGTTTCGGCTATGCCCAGACTGCGCAGCATCTGGTTCTGGCCCTACTCCCCCTACTGGCTCCGTCCAGGAGGCCACTACCGCCCCTGGCTCCGTCCAGGAGGCCGCTACCACCCCTACTGCCCCTGGCTCTGACTCTGCCTCCGTCCCTGGCTCCGCTCCTGGCGCCGTCCAGGAGGCCACCACCACCACCCCTTCTGGCTCCGCCACTAGCTTCGCCCAGTTGTCTGCAACGGCCCCTGATCTCCCTGTGGACGGGTACGAACCTGTCTACTATGGTGCAGGGTACCATGTAGGTGATGTGTACGGCCGAAACCCAGTGGAGCCCTAGTTAGGAGACTCCAACGAAATTTGGAATCAGGCTTATGGTCCTGACGTTGATCCCATCGTTGAACCCTCAATCGAGCCTGCGGACCTACTTGTGCTCCCCATGCAGTCCTCCTACAAAGATTATAATTTGACACATTCAGCATCTAAAACTGTTAGGATTGGTCTGGATGTGTTCAACTTCACTCCATATGTTTTGCTTCTGGGAGATGTGAGAATGGGAGGGCAAAGAACTTGGATCAGAATGTCCACAGATGAGTTTGAAGATCTCATTTCAGATCCTATTCACAAAAAAGTTAAAGAAAGTCTGCGGGCTAAAACAGCTCTGGGGCCACTCACTTTGGGTGGAGTGTCAGTCAGTGTAACAGTCCATGAAAAAAATAACAAGTGGGCTCACGTTTGCATACAACGTTCAGATTCCCCTTTCAAAATA